TGTCGACGGGTCGTGGACCCCAGCGTGCAGTTGAAGTCACCTGCAACAACCAACAAGTTCCAGTAAGTCCTCCCAGGCATGCCAAAAGTTCAAACGCGCTTGAAGGGGATCAGGTCGAAAGCGTGCTGTATTATTTGGATGTTGATAGCAGTTTACGAGATCAAGAGTAATGGTTCCAAGATTACACCTGATGTGTTGCAACCTGCCTTCATGAACAGTGACATGGCTAATGGAGGCTGATGAGCAGAACTGCGAGCGAACAACTGTGAGTGGACCATCATGTGCTCCAGCCTGATTGGGCGTTGGGATGAGAGCAAACCCGTGACTCTCCCACGGTTCAGCAATGCCCCATCTGGTGCCCTGAACGAAACATATATCGATCCTGTGCAATGATAGCCAGGTGAGAAGTTCGTTGTATGACTCAGTTGATAGACCTCCACAATTCCATGTCATGCAGCTTAGTCGCGGGCCCTTGGCCTGTGACGGTCTCGGACCGTTCCTCTTCGAAGAGGAGTGAACTGCAGGTGCCATTGGAGGCTGGGTGTGAACATGTCCACGATAGATGCAAAAGCCAGTTTGGAGCAATCTCCTCTGGGCTCGGGCAAAAGATCTTTTAACTGTGCGGCGTGAGGCCCTCAGTAAGGTCCCTGAGGACGCTGCATGCCCTGTTCCATGTATTTCAGGGGTATCTGACAAAACCGAAAGACACGTATCCCTTTCCGAGCGGTTCATGGACACCGCTCTACCCTCACCCCTCCCGCTCCAAAGTTCAAGTAAAAACTCTTCTGTTTGATGCTCAAGAAACTCTTCATCATGAAAGGCAAGCATCAGAGCGGGTCCGGACTTGGGACCGGATAGGTACAGCCGTGCAGCTATCGTCGAAAGGAGCAGCAGAGAATGCCAGTGCCAACCCATGGCATGGACCACGGCCGTTCTCCGCTGTTGGAGGGCTGCAGTGCACGGCTTGTACCATGGGGCTTCAAGGAAGCTACTAGGGGCTCCTGGCCATACTACTAGGAGCAAGGAAGCTACTAGGGGCTCCTGGCCTTACTACTAGCAGCAAGGAAGATACTAGGGGCTCCTGGCCTTACTACTAGGAGCAAGGAACCACTAGGGGCTAATGGCATCGGGGCTCCTGGCCTTACTACCAGGAGCAGGTGGCCTTACTACTAGGAGCAAGGAACTACTAGGGGCTCCTGGCATCGCTACTAGGAACAAGGAAGCTACTAGGGCCTCCTGGCATCGCCACTAGGACCAAGGAAGCTACTAGGGGCTCCTGGCATCGCTACGAGGACCAAGGAAGCTACTAGGGGCTCCTGGCCTTACTACTAGGAGCAAGGAAGCTACTAGAGGCTCCTGGCATCGCCACTAGGACCTGGCCTTACTCCTACGAGCAAGGACGCTACTAGGGGCTCCTGCCACTCTCCTAGGAGCAAGGAAGCTACTGTGGGCTGTTGGCCTTACTACTAGGAGCACGGAAGCTACTAGGGGCTCCTGGCTTTACTACTAAAGACTCCTGGCATCGATACTAGGAGCAAGGAAGCTACTAGGGGCTCCTAGCCTTGCTACTAGGAGCAAGGAAGCTACTACTGGCTCCTGCCATCGCTACTGGAACCAAGGAAGCTACTAGGGGCTCCTCTACTAGGAGCAAGGAAGCTACTAGGGGCTCCTGGCCTTGCTACTAGGAGCAAGGAAGCTACTAGAGGCTCCTGCCATCGCTACTGGGACCAAGGAAGCTA